CAGTTCACACCACTGCATCCCCAGGGCACCTGTCCCTCCATCCACCATGCCTACCTGTGCACCTGTCCTGATGATGCAGCTCACACCACTGCATCCCACTTCAGCAGCTGGCCACCTATGCCCCATCATCCTCGTCTGGATCTTTCCACCTGTTCTGTTCACCCAGCATGCATTTGCGTGTTGTGTGCCCATCTCTTCCACCCTGTAGATGTGAATTTGCAAAGGCACCTGTGTCTGCTCATTCCTCCACATCCCTATGTCCATCCATGCACTTTCACCCCTGTGGCATATATTATCCAACCCGGCCTGCCTGTCCCACCCATCACTCTGCACTAGTGCTTGTGCTGGCCGCTGCCCAGCTGGTCTGTATTCCTGAATATACCAATCCCCCTCCTGCTTTCCTCACATTCATTCCTGTGCCCCCTGAGCCCCCTGCTCATACACCTGCCTCATTCTCATCCAGTCTCTTGTCCCACATAGTGATACCCTTCACTTATCTCCTTAGGCACCAACCTGTCCACTGTCCTGCGTCCATTTGTCCACAGCCCACCCTCCCACTCCTCTGCTACAGCTATCTGTCCAGCACATATTCCTGCATGCAGTCCTCCATGCCTGTGTCCAGTATGTGTCTCCGTGGACCTCCTTCTTTCCCCCACCCCTTTCCTGTCTTCTAGTCACCGCCACGTCCCCTTTCCCCGAGTCCTTAGAACCAGCCCTCTGCACCCACTCGTGGCCCTTGGCGCCCCCCCTGCCACTCCCCACCCCGTGGCTCACCCTCTCCATCACTCCCTTCCGCACTTCACGGACCTGAGACAGAGGCCATGACCGGGACTGGCCCAGGAATGGAGAGCTTTGTCAACATACATGTGGCCCAGGGTCATCCGACATTGGTGATTTGGAGGAGGACGCCAGGTGCTCGTCTCAGTGCGCTTCCCACACGCTGATGGCCCTCTCTTCCTGAGCATCCTGCCTGGGCAGAGGCTGAGGTGGGGTGGTCAGGCTGCTAGGGGTGGTCTCTGCTGGCCACTCTGCTTGGAGGCCTTCTTTGCCTCCATTGGAGGCAGACATGGGACACTGCACACACACTGCTCAGTGAGCGGCTCCACACCCCAGGGCAGGCTGTGGCTCCACGTTGCAGGCAGCGGGGCCTGGTAGGACCCCAGCCACACGCGGCCAGCCAGCCCCACAGCGCCTTCACCCAGAGCTGCCGTCTAGAGCGTGGGGGGCCGTCTAGGCCACCTAGTGCAGTCATTCCTGTTCCTCCCGACAGCCTCCGTCAGTCTAGAACAGGACCCTGCGGCTGGATACAGGAGCGGCTGGCCGTCTGCATGGCGGGAGACATCAGGGAGAAACGTGATTTCGCATCACAATTAAAGAACTAAATAGGCTAAGACGAGATCCAGTGGGAGATGAGCTAACTCTGGAGAAAATGATGCAGACTGCCTCTGAACCAAGCTTCAGGCAGCGAGCACCACCCACCGCCTGGTCCCTTAGCCTTCTGCTTTTTAAGTTTTGCCTATTAATCACCCAGTTGGTGGGCTTCCTGGTGGCACGTGGTGCAGACATACATACCAGTTCCACCGATTCCTCTCCCCGACATGCCCCTGTCCCTCGCTCTCCCATGGACCCCCGCTGCACCCTGGCGGGCTCCCCCTCCTTCCACACGCCTGGTCGCCCACTGTTGTCCCTCTACTTCCACCGAGGAGAGAAACATACTTGTATCTCTGAGGATAACTTATTCCTCTCAAAATCATGGCCTCCAGTTCCATCCATGTTCCTGCACATGCCATAATTTCCTCCTTCTCTGTGGCTGACTAAATCTCCACTGTGCACGTCCACCACATTTTCTTTATCCCCCCGTCCACCGAGGGACACCTGGGCTGGCTCCGTCGTCTGGCGGCTGGGAATGGTGCGTGTGTGTCACTGTAGTGAGATGACTCTGACTCCCCAGGGTCAATACCGAGGCGTGGGGCAGCTGGGTCACACGGAGGGTCCCCGCCTGGTCTTTTGGGTGGTGGCACTTTCCTGGTGTCACGTCCTCGCCGGCATTCATGGCTGCCTGGGTTCCTGACGGCTGCCATTCTGACCCGAGGGAGACGGGATCGCAGCGTGGTTTTCATGAACGATTCCCTGATGGCACGAGACTGTTTCCCTGAGTTGGCTGCCCATCTGGGCTTCTCCTCTGGACAGGTGTCTGCTCAGTTCATCTGCCCATTGACTGACTGGGTCAGGTGGCTCTTTCAAGGTGTTTGTTGGAGCTCTTTATTGAATCCTCGGTGGGAAGAGTCGGTGGCCAAGATTTTCTCCCCTGCCGTAGTTCTCTCTTCACCCGGTTATTTCCTCCTTTGCTGTGCAGAAGCTTTCTAATGTGGTCCACCACCAACGCC